CTGTACAGTGTCCTGGCCACTCTAGTTTGCTCGTGTGATGTTTCGTCACAACTTACCGTCGGTAAGAGCACACCTCCATCGTTTATGCAAGTTTGAAATATCGTTGTAGTTTTGCCCCTTGAATGGATGGCAGTCTATCCTTTTAAACGAAACAAATCTTATGATGACCTGTTTTGATTATAAGAACCCAGGTCTTTGCGACCCATGTTCCTTGAAACTGTTCGTGCTGAATCGCTTATTCCCATGCCTCCTCAAATGGAAGATGCCATCTTCGGGATGAACAGCAACTTTTACATCAAAGAGGTTAGTAACGAAAAAAAAGTGATGCACAAACAACAGAAGTGTTTTGTTTCTTTGTATTTGGTCAGATTCAATTAGTTTCTTTTTCTTTTAATAAATGATATTACTGTATTTCTTATTTAATGTGAAGATAACCAGTTTCTATGCATTGCAAAAGAGCAACTACTCTTTCTATTTTAACTGTCTGTTGTATTCGATAGCATGGAAAGGTTCGTTCTATTGGTAGTCATAGTTTTCCACTTCTTTTTCTTTTACCTTCCCTTCTTTCCTTTTTTTTCTGATATTTTCTTTTGAATTCATATTAAGTAATTATTATTTTATTTTATAATTTCTTCACTATTTGTAGAGAAACTGGTGAGGTTTTCGCACATGAGCGCATAACTGGGATAAGCTTACTAAGTAACCCCCCCTTTTTTTTTTTACCTTCCTTTAGCAAAAGCCCCTGTTTGCAATTTGTAACTGGCCCTGTTTTAAGATGTCATACTTTTCATCATACCGGTAGTAGTATTGTGAGCTGCTGGTTGTTTCATTTATGTATCAGGTGTCTACAGCCATTTGTGACGTCATGGGCACATCACAACAGATTATCAATATGTTCATTCACTGCAGTTGGTGCAACGAACAATTTAGTATCAAAGTATTGCAGCATATCAGGGTACGTCCATGGTATTGTCTCTCTGCTTTGTTTTATTTGCATGCATCAATTTTTTCTTGTTGTCCATGCCCGTTTTACTAATTTTCGAAATTTACTCACATTAACGAACGTATGGACGGACAGACACACAGAGTCACAGACTAACCAACGGACCGACTGACTGACTAACTGTTTGATTGATTGATCAATTGTGCGATTGACCTAGTCTTACACAACAACTTGCAAGCAGTCAAATTAATTTAACAATTTGCCGGGGATCCATGTCGAGCAGACATCCTGTATTGCTGTATTAACACCTTGTGTTACTATATCGACGCGAAACGGCAAGATCCGAAAGGTTGCTTAGGACTTACCCTACTCTTGTGGGTTTAACAATTTAACATTGTGTTACAGTTTTTTAAATATATCCAGACTTGACATACTGATTAAGGGGACACTAATTTGAGCCCTACCCTTGTCCGCTGAACGCTGGTTTCATTGTTGAACCAAATGGAGGGAAAGGCAGTTCGGAAAAGAACTGAATGAATACTATATTTTTGCACAGCACACTGATATGCGTTTATTTCACAGGCCCTCCTTGCTACTGTTTCCGCCAATGACATGAGGAATTTGTTTGGTGCCCTACTTGATTTACTGGTAAACAAGACTCTGATGTTGTGTAGAATGCACAGTCCCTTGTAGCACCTCGTTAGAAATTCAGACTCAGAAGCTAAGTAGAATGGCACAGCAGAAAACAACTCAAAACACAAAACATGTTACATTAACGTTGGAAAGTAGGCGATTGATTATTTTCATTTGCTCTCCTGACTTAGCCATAAGTTCTGACACGGGTACGTTAGAATACTGACGATGGTCACCGTACGTGAGTTTGATCTTAAGTAACTTGTATGACCATTAAAGCAAGAGCCTTGAGCAATTAGCGATCAATCAATGCATGAAGGATGCAGAAATTCGGTAATGGTGTATATTTACCTGAAACTTACGCTATTCTTTTCTTGTAAGTTTTCTAAGTCGCGTTACTTTCAACAGATGGTCGAGGATCCTTTACAGTTGTTGCGAATAAAATGTGTGGCCGATGAACAAGGAGATGGCGTCTTAGGTGAGTTTTTTAGCGAAAACTTTCCGTAGGATGGTGGAGAAGTTTGTTAAATTATGTGCTCTGCTTCCTTCAATTTTCGTCTTTATCACGAGAGGCTTGGTGACCTAGTACATAGTGCCTTACCCCCACCCGGAGAAAATAAAGAGGCGGCGGCAAACTTTCAGCGAAACTTGAGAAAATGGCGGGGTAGGGGTACGATGGACTAGCATCCCATATGCTTAGCAGTGATAACTTCTCACCATAAGGGAGCAGTAGGCTCCTACACTTCACCTGTAACGTTTTTCAGCCATTGTCTTTAAAACAATGCTATTGATTGCACGTTTGAGGTTAGTAGTATGGCTACGCCCATTTTCGGGTGACCATTTATGGTAACGAAGAACAACTATAGCCGACGATCTTTCTGTTTTACGTTTGGTCCTAAGGATGAGCTATGCGTATTTGTTTTCCAGCGGTTATCAAGACAAGTAACACGACTGACAGTCGCCGGGCATACCAGTGCATTAAATTCCTGGTTCAGTTGGCAAATAAATGTCCGCAAGCTAAAGATTACTTACTTCAAAATTCGTCACGCTGGCAGTGGGCCGTGCAATGGCTCAAACGAAAAATGAACGAGCATTACTGGGCCCCACACACCACGACCTCCAATGAGTACTCGTCCAGCCGAACATTCCAACGAACTTCGAGCGCTGCCGACACACTCGCCGAAGCTACAGCTTTGCTTACCGAACTCGAAGCGAAGGACGGCGAAGCTAATACGTCTGAGGAGTTAGACGACACAACGACAAGCGAAGACTGGGAAAAGGAAATGACAAGTTGAGTAGAGCTAGAAAATATCACAGTAGAGGAGAACGGAGATCTTGGCAGACGATACAGTACAAGTTAATAGCAAAGAACAGTAACACCAGAGGATTTGTTGCAAGTACTTATCTTCAGATTCGGTACTCAGAATTTACCTCTTCGTTCCCATTTTCCTTCCTCTTATTTTCTCAAGAGAGAAGTCCTATGTGTTATGGATAGTGATAAAGACCACGTTTTCGCAGGCCTGAAAAGATACAGTGAAAGGAAATGACTCTGTTATTTTCTTGAAACGTGGTGTTGATTTGCTGCAGATGCTTCCCATGAGGCGAAACATTTTATCTCATTGGCGACCGAGACTTCCTTTCTACTTTCTGACTGAACGCGATCGCACACGCACACATATCTATCGTAGACTAGCGAGCTCAGGCCCCAATCTTTCTTTCATACCATTATATCAGAGCATTTTCCAATGTTGAGGACACTGTTGTCCCAGGTGGCCGTAGTACGACGTAAATTGTCCTCACGTCTTTCGTTACATTGGTCGCACTAAAGTAAACAATTCCTCGTGAGAGTGATTTTATCGCGCCTACTGAACGAAATCCAGCAACACGCGCTAAATAGTCGAATTTAGACGGAAAAAATGATAGAATTAGGGCCCAGTGGTTTCTGATTGAGAGTTAACATTTCATAAGTATAATAAATTGTCCTTAAATTGCCTCCTCTCGGAAAGTTTTGTTATTTAACGCCTTGCGTTAGTACTGTTCCTTGGTGGTGGAATTGCCGCCGTTCATGACTGCTAGCCTTTCGTCCACTTTGCGGTAATCTAGAACCAATTAGAAGTCCCTACATTTTTCACACTAGCAATGCTATTTCAAAAGGATTATCTGAAAATGCATTGGAGTTATATTCCTGAACTTAAATAAAATACAATAAATTAATTCATGAATATAAAGATATGAAAATCATACATGTGAACTGCGGATAAAGAAATGAATATGGAAGCGACCTTCGCAGTTATGAATACTACCAAAGCAGTAGTGAAAATAAGTCCTGATTCTGGAAAACAATTCCGCTGTGTTAGATCGAAATGTTTCTTTTCAAAGAGAAATCGAATAAATCCTGCGGTCTTTTCGTATTCACGTCGTGAGATTATTCCGAAAGCTTCCGAAATGTCACAGACTCTTTTAGGTACCCGAAGTTTACTGTTTTTGTTAGTAATGATATTCAAAACTTTTAATCCGTAGCTGAAGTGTTATATTTGTTGAAAGATTCAATTGACTAAAACACGAACCCTAGACGTGTTAAAGTCGTCATCAAATACAGCAAACACTTCCACTCTGGCTTGTAGATTTCCAATAAAGCTACTAATGTTCAAGTTAAGGTTACTGGCAGTAAAATTAGGTCAAAGTCTTCAAAATCCTAAATATAACACGAGATTCGACAGACCGCATTGACACGCGCTTAAATGCGGTGCGAAAACTGAATTTCTTGAAGCCGAAAAACTCGAGGTTTGTTTTTACGCGAGTCACCTAAACGAACTGATTGGGTTACAGATTTGTTGGATTTTAGTGAAAATCGGCTAGAATGTTCTTCAGATATTAACACATTAAATCGTGTGAGGCTTTTACGAAATTCGCGACAAAATCCCTCATAACGTTCCGGAACGCGACAACCTAAAAATTTTCTTTCGTCAAACTTAGAAATAGATTTTCTCAGGAACCAGTCGGAATATCGAAAAAGCCCCACACTATTTGTCAGCCTATTATCTGCTGAGTCCTAAAGTTCAATTACCTTTAATAACTCGGGGTTGATATCGCCGGACATACACGTTACATTTGCCATAAGCACTACGACTGAATTCTACAAGCATCTTTAACACGAAGTGCTAATTTTCTCCTCTCTTGATTAAGATATAAAGCATGATAGAGCCGTTAACCTTGGTTAACTTGAGGACTTTACTAGAGGAAGAAGGTTTTCTATTGTTTCTCTTGCACTCTTTTGGCCTGAGTTACAGTGTAATTCAGGAGATAGATCAAATCACTTCTAATGTTTACTAAGTTTTTCGATACTTGTACTATTGTAAGTGGTAGTGAATGCAGCTGCAAACGTGCCTCTCATTTTCATTTTGATCATTCTTCCCGTTAGGTTTTATTTTGCACACCAAATTCGTCTTTTAATCTCCTTCTTTACGTCTCTCTTAAAGAAAGAGTAAGCTAATGGGTTGACGGCAGAGTTTAGCACTAAAATAGGGATTTTATAGTGAACATCATTACACGGTTTTGGACCGTCACTGAATAAGTACACAAAAGAACAGCGCATGTAAAGACTGTAACACAGGAGAAATATTCCTACCACTACTCCCGTCATTATAACAACTGACTTTTCCCTTTTCTTACGAGAAAACTTATGGTTGAAACTTAACTGTTTTGCTAACAAGCGAGTTGTTTGATCATGTTTACAGAGAATTTGTAACATAGATAGAAAACAAAACACACATATGATAGTTGGAAGGAATTCAAAGATGATTAGAGTTAGGATACTAAGAAACTTGAGGCCAAATGGACTTTCAACAAGTTGTGGCAATGCGTAAAATGCTCGAGATACAAACGGAAGTGACCAAGATAGGGAAAGCATTTGAATGATACGGCGACGTGTCATGAGACTCAAGTATTTTAAAGGTTGAACAACGGCAATGAAGCGATCCAGGACCAAGCTACACAAGTTCATCACGGACGCAAAGGCGAAAAAGTTTCTAACAATGTACATCATGTTATCTTCTGAGTTGCAACCTGCCACCTTGTTGCAGACAAACAATGTAGGAACCACTGTTATCCCGACACAGAGATCTGCCAGAGCGAGTGAAACGACAAACGCGTTGGTTTTAGTTCGAAGATTTCGTTTGCTAGTAACAAGGAAGATAATAAATCCATTCCCTGTTATCGTCAGAATGGAAAGAAACCAGCCAACAATCCAAAACCAGGTTTCCATTTTTTCGTCACCCTTGATGTTTCACCCGATTGTAATCCAGGATGTTGAGAAAATCAATATAGTTATTTTAGTTGCTACATTAATGGACTAAAAGCTCCTTACTGCTCAAAAAAAGACCTTGGTTACCTATCGCTTCTCTTTGTCGACGCATTTACATAAGCCGGAGTGGTTCAAAAGTTACCTTTTATTACCGAAGACAAACATACAACAACTACTGTAATTACTGTGTACTTTTCATGATGCGGAATGCAATTCTGGATTTCATTAAGAAGCATGCGGTTTTTTTGTTTGATTTATTGTTTGATTTTTTTTTTTTTTTTTTTTTTTTTTTTTTTTTACAACACCTGTAGACGTTTGAAAAAGCCGATTCTCTTAACTTGGTTATGACTCACCGAATATAACTGCAGGTGTAAAAAAAATTGTTCAGCCAACCAGTGAGAGTACTCTAACAGTATAATTTCCTGCTATGGTAATGGTGCATTAGTAACAATATTCTGTAATACTGTCATCTGCTTTGTGAGTAAACACTGTCAGATGTTATATTGAAATTAACTGTTCGAGTTGGCCAAGTGTTTGGGCACCTTTTGATGGATAAATGGCTTTACCTTAAAGTTATTTGTTTTTACATAAGCTAAGCTATTATTTGGGCTCCGCTCTGGGTAGAGTAATTTAATCGGATAATCGATTAGCCATTAGCGTTACTGCTACCTGTCATAATTGGCCAACGGTGAATGAATATCATTTGTTAACTCAGTCAAAACATTGAACATTAATCAAGAAAGGCGGGCGGGCAAGCTCCTACTAAAAATGAAACCAAAAAATTGAGAGAATATGAGATCGTGTAAGTTCCCTCTAAGTTGATAAGCTGAGTAAATACCATAGAAATATTCAACGAACCATACCACTTTCGATCAACTTTTAGCGCACGGATAACAAGCAGGCGAAAAAACGCCACAGGGCAGCTTTGGTAATATTCTCAAGCTTGAATACCTAAATTTATCGTGCAACATCATCAATTATTTTAAAAAAAAGCTGCCTGCCACAAATGAATCAAAGTGGTCTCCATATTTATATACTATATAAACTATGAAAAAGGCGTTCTTTGGTTAAAAATGGTATTCTTCGCCAAACGTAAGCTTGAATTTTCAGTCTGATCTCTGTTAAATACTAAGATGTTCATAGGAAGGACTATAAAAATTTGAAAAAATTATAAAACAATAAAATGTGGAGCGTTTTGGCATTTAAAAGGAACACAGTGTCGTTTGGCGACAGATTGGAATTCTTGCCTGCTTCACTGGTATTAACAGGGTGTAAGGATTCAAAGCAGCTTTTCAGTCGATCAGGAGGAGCAAGATTGGCTCTTAATAAGATGAGTTTGTTCCATATTTTCTCCTCTCTGTTAATTCATTAAAATTGGCTCTGATCCCAGACGTTAAGAATCAAAAATTGACTATAGTCCTGGGTCGGCAATCAATGAACTCGATTAGGGTTTTCATTATGCATGATCAATTTTATTGATTTTGTCGAATTGATCGAAAATAAACTCTCCTCAAAAGTCAGTTTCCTGGAAGGAAAACAAATTGGGCAAACCTCGATCAAAGAAAGTTTCAAAGTAACTCTACATGGCAGTAACGTTATTAAATCATCTCTTTTCATTAGCGCGTAAAATTTATGGAGGGATAACGGAAAAACCGTAAAACTAAGTAATTCCTGCTAACTGCATCCGGTGCTGTTTTTGCAACGCATATTTGAAACATATAAAAAAAAAAAGTGAATGACATGTTTGATGTATTCGCTCTTTTTCCTACCACATCGGAGCCTTTCAAAGACCATTGCTGTAACAGCACTGGTTTTAACCGATCCCTAAGCCCAAGGTATAATTTTCCTTGGTAGTCAAAGGGGTTGTCGGATGCACAGTGTGTATTGGAAATGTATGGTTAGTTATTTTTCTCTTGCTGTGGTTGGTCTTCATCTCAATTAACAACTTAACGACTGCGAATATATGAATGTTATATATTTGGACTGCGGATTATGCCTCAAAGTAGTGGTGAAAATAAAGCCTACAAAAATTTTTTTCAGGCTTCGTTCTGCCCTCTGCTTAATTAGTGTTCATTGTTGCGAAGATCACTCTCATCTTCATTTATTAAATTAACTCGTTGCATAGAGAATAATACATGGGCACGCGTAGATATGGAATTTCTCTTCGAGTGTTGAACTCGACTGCTCACGAATGAGCGCAGCGAACGAGTGAGATGTCGAGTTCAACACGAGAAGAACAATTTCATATCTACAAGCAACCATGAATTATTTTGTTTATCATATAAACACAATAGCCCTTTACTGAGAAGAAAAGCCGACTTCATTAATGAAGAAAAACAAATGAATCGACAATCCCAAATAACAATAGTAGAGTGAGTTGGCGCTAACTCTTAAGATGGAAAAGCTCTTGAATCATGATTACAAAAACAACAATGGTCCTAATTTTCAATTTACAAAATTCTCATTTATTGACTTTGTCCTTACCGACAGATTAAGTCTTTCAGGTAAACGGGCAAAGTCGGCCAGTAAATCTTCCAGTTGTCGATTTTCATTTTCAGCCGCGAGAAATGCCAACACCAAAGCCACTGAATACGTAATTTTCGGTTTTTCTTTTTGTGACCTGACCGAGTGGCGCCAAAGGCGAGTGACGTGTCAGCAGCTGATTGGCAATATCAACACACGAAAGAAAATACGATTTTTTTTCACGTGTGTTGTTACGGCTTTTCTCAGGGCCGGAAATCCCTGTTGAACACCGCAGTTTATGTGATAAAACGAAATAATTATTCAGTACCCGATACAGAAACACGACGTCAGCGAAAAGTTAGTGAATGAATTTATGACATAATCCCTTGATGAATAAAGCTGTTGTTTTATTTGGTCGAAATGGGATGTTAAAGTCACTTTTCTTCTCATAAAGGCCCTAAGCGAACCATCACACGGAATCAAGGCCATCCTTTCCAGTTTCATTTTGGTCAAAGTGACTGGAGGTCACATTCAGATATATGGTTGGCTCGGAGAGGTTGTCTTTACAACGAACCTTTCCAATGATCACTGTTTACACACCATATAAATTCACAGTATCCCTGTTGTTATCTTTTTCGAGCTACTAAATAATACATACTAGTGGGGGTTGTCCTGTTATTTTTCAATTTCACTTGGGACTAGAAGTTTTCTTTATAGCCTTTTGACTTAAGTAAACAAATACCCTTTTGTTTCGTGGGCAACTAAATAGAATGAGATTTCTTTGAAAATCACCGAACCGGTACTCACCCCAAATGCGGGTTAATACAGTTAAAAGGCGCTTTCGTCATTATGGGACCAAATCTACGCTTCCAAACAATAAGAGCAGATAACACAATCGTAAATTCACATAAATTGGAGAAACTTTCCAATTGTTATTAGTGGGAACTCATCTGCACAGTTTACTGAAGGCACAATCAGCCATCACATCTTGAAAGGTGAGTCTCGTGCTCTTTCGCTAACGGTTTTATTCAGACTGACGATGAAATATAAACTTTACTCATCATTTTTCGGTCGATTTCAAGATGCCGAGGATGAGATTTTTCTTTTTCTAAAAACTATAAACTGGGGCTAAATAAAGTGAAGCGAACTCAGCAACACTTCAGTTTGCTTCAAGTAGTCAGTCATCCAGTTCTCTTTCTACTGTCTTCTCAACGAGTGTAGCACAAAATTATGTTTTTAAAAATAAGTATATTTCATTCTATCGGTAATAGTGCTAGAAAGAAATTGAACACCCGTAGGTCTTGACTTCAGAAGTTCAGAGTATTCAGTCGCCCAAACTAATTGAGTTAACTTCCAAACACTAAGGTTAATTGTCCGTCGAAAAGCTTGTAAATTATTTTCTCATCCTTTAAATGGTGCGCCGAGGCAACCACTATCGAAAAGAAGTGTTCAAAGAGAGAATTTTCACAAGTGCATTTGCTTTCACTCTTTTTTACCAACAAAAGTTTGCATTATATATTGAATGGTGTTCCAGTCCAACAAACGATTGCTTTTACATTAGCATAATGGATAACACTGTTGATGAGTGACCAAGTAATGATCTTGTTCCTTGATTTCCAATACAAGGGGAAAAAATCCAAATTTTATTGCAGTTGTAACTAGGTTGGCCAATGATAAATGTTACCGAGACATGATAGCACTGAAAGAAGTTTATAGGTCAAAGGGTTTGCTGTGAAGTGATCAACCAGTACAAATTCAATTTGTAAAGCTGTCGCAAAGTCACAAATCATTTGAATATAATCCCATCCCACTAACATGGCTGGCCACTTACACCGAAAACCATCCACATTGATTTGCACTCAACACTGATTGTAATCCAGTAATTCATGCAAGAAACTTGGTCACCATTTTCATTTACAGGGAGGTTTAAGGCACATAAACCTAAAGTGAAGGGTGTTTCTTAGAAGCTGTAGTGTTGCTATTCTGGCATCACATCAAAAGAAACTACGATCAAAATTTGCTGCGAACTGAGTTAGTTTTCTCATATTGTTTGTACTTCATAAGAAACAAACGAAAAAGTGTGATAGTATCGATCTATCAAAAAAGCGGGATTTCTGGCTAATGGAGTCATTTAGAGGCTCCTTAAAAGCTGCACCCTAAAAAAGGCCAATACACCCTTAATCAGCCTTTGGTTCGTAATCAACGACCCGAGAGCTCTTTGGAAAGTCACCGCTCCGTGTAGCACGCAATCCGACCGCGGAGTAAAAAACGTATGATAAAAGCATTTGCATCATCTTGGCGCCTCATCACAACCAAGGCGGATGTGAAATGATGATTAAAAATACATGTTCAGCACATAGTGCTAATAAATTGAAATCGTTCTATACTTCAGTAACACATCTCGTTAGGTAGGTATCTCACCGACAATGATGAGTCGTTAATCTGCAACCTGTTTCGTTTATTCAGCGACCTTAAAAATAAATTGAAAGGCTCCGACCGTTAGAGATTTTAAAAATGTTTTTTATTAGTACATTAGTTTTTTGTCGAAGACAGATGTGTCGACAAAAGCGTGCTGCGTGCCAGTAATTCATTCTTCCTTTCTGATTTTTTCATTAGATATCGTTCGATATCATTAAACTATTGCATCTACAATGGTATGATTTGAAACTCGCAATGAGTAATCCTATAAAGTTTTCATCAGTTTATCGTTTAAACTTAAAGGCTTATAAACATCACGTCTTCGGTGTGGTCGGTAATAAAGCGTAACTGAATTAGCAGAAAACGTCTGTGATACTTATGAAAATTATCACCAATTGAGGATATAATTAGCATTTTTAATCTTTTCTATGCATTAGCGGATTATGACTAGAGATTCATTTTGGTCCAGCGTTACTCTTTAACTTGTTTAACTTGCTACTCATTGTCATTGTGTTCCAGAGTTTGAGCCCTCGTTGATGATGAAAACTTTTTGGGTTTGTATCATCTTAACTTTAAGCCTGTCTTCAGGTAGGAAGCATTTATGTGCACCTATTTCGTTTAAAGCCTCAAATAACAATGAACTTCCTTTTATTATCACTGATATTGTTATTGCCATTGTCCTTTTCCTTTTCATTCAAATGAAAATGTAAATTATTTGAACACAGCTTTAAGCGTGATCATCCGCAGAAAATAAGAAAATTCTTAGGAAGAACTGTAGTCAGAATTAGTGAACGACTGAAGAATTCTATTAAGGTCGTTGAGACGTCTTTCGCTACCTCCGAAAGCAGTCGTTCTGATGAATACACTCATTCGGACGATCAGATTACACGATCGTTTTCATAATTATTAGTATCGTTATTATCATCAGGTTTCATTTTTACACCATTTTAACATCTCTAAACGGGTTGTTTCACTTCAGGCGTAAGGCTACCCACAGGTCAAACCATCCTGCGATCCATTATAATGGTTATTTCGCATTATCTTTGTTATAACTGACAGTTTCTGATTCCTTTCTCTCTTTCAGATTTATCTCAGGCAGAAGGTTTGTTATTTTACACTTTTCCTTACGTTTATGTATATTTTACTAAATCATTAGCGACACATATCATATCTAAAGAGTTTCTTGGACATACATTTACGTCATACACTATATTTTAGGGCAACATTTAGTTAAGCTGTGGTTACGCGCAACAGAACAGACACAAGGTGTTTATGTCGACCTTATTAAACATAAGTATTAATACAATGTCACGACTGGTAGGTGGCTGTCGAGATCAAAAGATGGATATTGCTATTCTGGCTGACGTATCTAAAAGTATGTCACCTGAGGAGCGAAGCGATCAGATAAAACTGATCAATAAACTGGTGGAAAAGAAAGGCGTTTCTTTCTCAGGAAATCATTTTGCCTTCATGACCTTTGCAAAGGAAGTCATTATTGAGAGCAACTTCAACGATCAGTCATACTACGAAGAAGGCAAATTAAAAGACTTAGTTCAGGAGAAATCAAGCGTGATACCTAAGTTCTGGGGAACACGTATAGATCTCGCCATGGATCTTGCCGCCAAAGAGTTGTTCAGCGAACAAGGAGGAGACAGGCCTGACGCTAAGAACGTCCTAGTCATGTTTACGGATGGAAAACCTGTTAAAACAAAGTGGGATGAACGACCTGATATACCGTTTGAAGATTTCCTGGAGGCATTAGAGGTAATATAACTGACTGCTACACTTTGTTTACTCTCTTTTGAATTTGACTTTCAAAGAGAAAACGCGAAAAGAGTTAAATTTAAATCAGTTTATCGAACCGGTTTAAGATTGATCCTTCGGGTCAGTTTTTGAACTTGATGAAGTCAAACTTATGTTCTTTCAACAGAGTAAAGATGTGAGCGTAATTGTGGTAGCAGTCGGTGAAAAATTATTTCAAGAAAAAACAACAATGTCCAAGATTGCTGGCACGCCAAAGGGAGAACTCCTTCTGTACCCCAATTTTGATGATCTTCCCGGACATTTGGACGACATCATGAAAGCTACTTGTGGTAAGTTGTCTTTACTATTTGTTTAATCTTTCAGTGAGTTAAGAATAGTTGTGACTGCGCCAGGAGAAAGTATACCTAAATAGTAATTTTTCCCGCGTAAAGGTCCATTAGCCTTCACTTTCAGTTAGCCGTCCGGGGTTGGGCTATCCGTTAAACGAACTCACCCGCTGGTTTAACTTTTGAAGCAATCTCAATATTCTGTCATTTTTTGTTTTGCCGACCGTTTGATAACTTAGGCTGTTGGGTTACATAGCACCACAGGCTACCTATCCATTAGAACGTTTTAAGTGGGACAACTGTGGGAACGCTTTTCATATCAATAACTGTTACAATCAACCATCAGTTACTTCTTATCACCTGTTTAACGAAAAACGTTCAGAAACGTTTTCGCCATGCATGTCACAATTGCGATCAGTTTTTCAAGACTGCGAGATTTCTAATATCCTGGTTTTAATTGATGGTCATCACCCAGGAAACGGCCTTAAGTTTGAGAGAACAGGAATGTTCAAGGATTTAGTTTACAAATACTATTTGTAAAGGTAACACTAATAGACAGCTCTGATACAACTAGGGAATAATGAGGTGGCCTATGGGTTAGCTCACTGAGTCCCAATTCGACCTGGTTTAAAAAAATATGCGAGAAGTAGGTTCATAGCTGGTAATCTATGTCTTAATTCTAAGTACACCATCGACGAGGATAACATTCTTCTTTTATCGTAGTAGTTGTCATTGTCATCATCTTAACGTTATCGCTATCATTATTAGCATTAGAATTGTGAACAATTAATGATTATCGAGAGACGATTATCTGAACTATATCTTTTTTTTTCTTTTCAGAGACACTTGTACCTAAGCCGGAAGGTGTGTAATTTTCGCCTTTTTTTTACTTTCGGCGTAAATTAGATGCTACGTGTTTCGTAGCTGACGAGTGCCATCAGTATAGAAAAAATGATAGACATGTGGGATCAATATCAGTATCTGGGCAACTGCCCACCTACCCTTCCCTTAACCCAACATTAACCTTAACTCGTTGTCAATTGACTGTTGTTGAGTTAAGGGAGGGGTAGGTGGGCAGTTACCCAGATACTGATATTGATCCGACATGTGTATACTTGGGTATTGATACACTTAGGGAGTTCGGAGAGTACGGCTGAAGAAGGATAGTCGAGAGCAACCCTCAATAAACGCTTGCTAGTAGAACCAGTTCTTTTCCCAAGTAGCCCAATGGTGATTGAATACGATGCTCAGAGAATTCACGATATAGAGTACAAAAGGATCTTTTTGGCTGATTAAAACGGGTATTTTTAAGCTGGATCTTTTCAGCTGGTGTATCTCAAATTCTTTGAGACAATTCACTTCTTTGATTAATCAATACATCCAAACTCAAGTAGAAATCGTGGCGTGTTAGAAGTAATACATCCTTAAAGGGCTTTTGAATCTTCATAATGAATTTAAAATTGTTCTGTACTTTCCTACATAGCGACCAGCACGTAGGTAGCGTACTAAATGAACATCACTAAGAAATGGGACGTGGATGGGCGAATCCCTTAATGTGTACGGCTCTGATAACTTCTGCTGGCTGCTCGGCAAGTAACACAGACAAGATATTACACGACTGCGCGTGGAATTGAATTTAATCTTGGAGTGTTGATAATATCTCTTACCACAGATTTTATCGACCCGTGTAGTTGAAAGCCAAGCATGACATTTCAGTTTATCGCGTAGTTATTGATAACCCTAAGCGAAGACCTTGAAATCTGAAACAGGACTGGGCTGGAGTGAAACCAATTCTCAATAAAACCGCTTTTTTCGGGTGCATTTTCGATATCTATACAATGAAGGGATAAATGCCATGATAGTTAGTTGAGACCAGTGCACGTGCTATACTACAACACCTATACCGGCATGCAGGCCAGCCGTTTACTCTCTCAGAGTGTGTTAATAAGTGTGCAGTCGAATTTTCAAATTACAAATCATTGATAAAAATGATATCATCGGTAGGTAAGTGTCCTAATCAAAAGATGGATATTGCAATACTGGCCGACGTATCAAAAAGCATGGACAGGCGGCAGCGAAGTAAGAAGATAGAACTGATCAATGAGATAGTGGAAAAGAAAGGCGTTTCCTCATCAGGAAATCATTTTGCTCTCGTCACCTTTGCAAAGGAGGTCGTTATCGAAAGCAACTTCAACGATCAGTCATACTTCGAGGAAAACAAATTGAAAGACTTAGTTCAGGAGAAATTAAATGTGATACCTAAGTTCTGGGGAACACGAACAGATCTGGCCATGGATCTCGTCGCGAGAGAGTTGTTTACCGAACAAGGAGGAGACAGGTCTAATGCTGAGAACTTCATAATCATGTTTACCGATGGGAAACCTTTTAAGTCAAAATGGGATGAACGACCTGATATACCGTTTGAGGATTCGTTAGAAGTTTTAAAGGTAAATATAATTGAATTCTGAACTTCACCTTAATACCTTGATGTATTCAGTAAAATTTGGTGCTCTCTTCTTCTCATATATCTTACATTCAAATAAGGATAGAGAGCACCAGGGTTTAGTAGTCTTCCCTTTTACAGGATGCACACCCGTGTAGCATTTTCAAAAAGAATTTAAAGGAAAGACCACCAAACAGAGCTTGTGACCGTAAGACACCTACCAAAGCTAAACATGTTTAACAAAGATATTAAGTAAAAAAAATGCAAACGAACTTCGTCAGATTTCTTGTATTGTTCTCATAAACTTCGCATAAAACAGTCTCGAAGATGATCGTAGTTATCAACTTCCTTACAAATCTGATGCAGCAATCTAGAAATTCATGGCCTTGATAAGGTTTCACCCTTTTCTGACAGAGCAAAGGCGTGAGGAATATTGTCGTGGGAGTCGGTAGAGACGTCTATAAAGAAAAAAAGGCGTTGTCAGAGATTGCAGGCAACAATGGAAAAGTGCTTCTGTACCCTGAGTTTGGTGACCTCTCCGAACAGTTGGGAGATATTCTAGAAGCTTCGTGTGGTAAGCTCTCCTTGTTAAATTTCTGTGTATCGATCAACGTTTTCAAAAGAGATGCCAGTAAAGTTTTTCAAGTAAAGATTACGTGGTTGAAAGATCGCGGTCCAATTTACATTCGAAAAAAGAGAAGCTCGAAAAATCTGTAGTTTTGGACATAAACTTATCCCACTGCATTTAACGAATAGAAGATATCAAATGATTTTAAAAAAGATCATTCGTTTACTGCAAATAGAGAGTCAATCTTTTAAGTAGCCTACCTAGTTACCTAATAGACGTTCCGTACTTCGTTAAGATCAGAAAGCTGAAAAGGAAGGGTAGAGGAAAATAAAGGCAGTAATGACGAGTGCCATAAATAATGTCCATTTTATGTCTCAACGTAGTCTCTAGGTATGTCAAGCCTGAATGATTTGACTCAATCCCGGCACTGAGCGACTGCAATTAGATCGTCGATTTGGGACGTAATGAATAAACATCAGTGACAAAACAACGTGAAATGGTGTATAACTTAACATTTTGAGAACATTATTGCTTGTGTATTCAGTTGAAAGATTTCACATCTAACTTGCCCTGGTAGCTTCCTAATCAAGTCAAAATCTTGCTGTTATTTTCTCTCCTACAAGTCATTGACGGTGGATACACTGAGTGGTCTGAATCTGAGTGCAGCGTGTCGTGCGGTGAAGGGAAAAAGACACTAACGAGAACCTGCACCAATCCCCCGCCATTTAACGGTGGAAAGGACTGTAGTGAACTGGGCCCAGCTAAGAAGACAGTTAAATGTAACGAAGGACTCTGTCGTGAGTATTCTTCTTCCTCTTTCAAAATAGATTCTTCAGTAAAAACTTCAGAGCTTAAAAATAAGATTTCAGAAATCTGCTTCATCCTGCGACCGCACTTATACATCACATCGTTATTTCACTTGATTCTGTCTTTTGTTTGCCAGTATACTGTTTTTAAAACTTATCCAAACCTTGGTTGAACAGGCGTCAAGAGTGTGAAGCGTGGTGACTTAACAATAGACCCACCAGACTCCGGATCTAACGATGTGGGTCAAAGTGTTTTTGGGCGTCATAGTCTCACAAAGCCTTTCACCACCGTGGTGTATAAATAGTTACTGGCGAACCATAAAGGGGGCCTGAAAAAATGAAAAAAATGCTTGGAAGGGAGGGGGTGAGGAGAAGGGCCTAATTTCATGCTGGCCTGTATTTTCACTGGCCAAATGGATCACTAGGCTTGTAAGCCGACTTTACCTATTTTACCCTTCAACACACACATCAACTTAAACATTTTACTTCTTCAAATTCAGTTTTCGAATCAGATTTCGTTTTGCCTTGCTACGCTTCCTACATTCATTCAAAGTCAAGGAAAGAACAACCTCTAATGAACGCCTTCATTTACATCACATTTACAACAAACAAATTAATCTACACCAGAACAAAAGTTTAAAAAGTGTTAAAGATGTGGCAGCGCAATCAAATTCCTTAGACTACTTAATAATGGTAAATTGAAAGATGCAGTGCAGATAAGAGGAGAGACATAAACCTTGCTTAGCCTCTCGGACAAAGGGTGACTCTCTACAAAGAAAGAGAATAGATTGAAAACACGAGCATGGCCTGATTAACAAATAGAGAAGCCTTAACTGTGCCCTCTTCTTAGAGCACGCAGGAAGCGGCTAGAGCACGAAAGAATTGTAAGGAGAAACACGAGACGTAGTCGAGTGTTTCTTTCCACTTCTCGGGTGCTCTAGCCGCTTCCTAAGTGCTTTATATCAGAACAGAGCACATGTCAAGGCTTCTCTATTGGTTTTATAATAAAGAATACGTTAAATTCCCCCCGCATTACTTTCAGTTTTCAAAACAAACTTTATTTCCAAAGCGAGCAATAGTGTCGTCAGCATGCTCTATAAACTCTCACAACGTACGCTACAATAAGCCAATCAGAATCCCTGTTAGAATTATTTAAATAACCTGATTGGCTGTACAAGGCTAGAGCTGTCAAAAATGTCCAACAATCAAAGCTCACACTCAGCATTAGTTTACAAACTGAAATAGTTCGGCAGGTCGAATTTAACACTTTTGCCTGAAGTTTTTTAGTCTCTAATACACAATCTGACAGTAGAATGTTAAGTAAAATCCGGTCGAATTGTGGCTTATAAAAACACGCAAGTGTTTTCACATAACAATTAGGAAAACAAGCTGTTCAAGGCGAGTGTTTTATGAATGAAGACAGCCGGATTCAACGGAACATGAAGATTGCACGGTATGAAAGCGCCGTGAAAATCGGCTGCAGTGACTGATGTGGCCTTCCACTCAATGTATTGGAAAGGACATCAGAGCAAGCTCTTTGTTGTTCACTCGAAGGGTGGCCGATGTAATTTCTGAGGTATGCTTCACTGACTGCGATGTCCAGAGATGATCCTCAATGTCAGCATGATTGCAGTCGCTCTGACACCGTCATGATTAGTATGAATTTTAACAATTATGCTAGTTTGGCTGCATTTTTCATGATTCCTGTTTTGTTTTTGAACACGAAAATTTATACACTATACGAGTGTTAGCTGTTTTTTATTCTTATTACCGTACGTAAGCTTGCAATCTCATTGAGCGTGAAAACTTTCAAAATTCGGACTGTCCATCTCGTTTTCTCTCCGGGGATTTTCGTCTCTGCTCACGTTATTATAACGCAAATAATGGTGCCTGGCATGTTTTCAAACCTTTGTTTGGTTGTTGCCGGCTCGCTTGATCCGAAATTTCACTTTCAACTGAGGAAAAAAAGCTGGAGAGAAGTCCCGGAAAGGGTCGGACATAGTACAATTAGGCAGATGGCAGCTATAGCTTAGCTCTATATGCTCCATCCTCTTACAGAGCACGCTCTTTCAACCAATGACCTGCGTTATATCTGAACTTTATTATAACAATAGATAGAGAGTTAAATGATACATATAGAAATTTCATCGATTCTTCTAAAGAAATTTTAACATTAACAAGATTTCGCTTTGTAAATGGAGTATGAAAGATGGGAATTTTTTTTTCGCTTTCTCGCAGGTCCTCCCTGCACAGCTGGACTTGATATAGGAATTGTAATCGACAAATCAAAGAGTATCAAGATACCTAACCTGGAAAAGGTTATAACCTTCTTGGGAGACCTTGTCAAGAAATTCAATCCTGCACCCAAAGCAGATCACTTCGGCCTCATCACGTTTAACGAGCAAGCGGAACTGGCGTTTTCCTTTGCAGATTCAAAATACCATAGCAAGAAAGATCTCTTGAGGAGAATAGCCAATGAGCCACTAAAACTGAACCTTCAAACTCGCACCGATCTGGCTTTAAAATTGGCAAAAGACAAGCTGTTTACCAAGGCAGGGGGAGACAGACCAGACAAACCAAATGTCATGATTGTATTAACAGATGGAAGACCAACACATCCTGACAAAAGTTTCAACTTCAAGGAATTTGCTAAGAAACTAGCAAAAAAATTTAAAGTGAGTTATTATTCACTGGAAGTGTCAATCATTATTAATTTCAGTCGTATAGAGGAAATTTACTATGGTAGTACGTGTAGGCTAAAGGCAGGTCGTTGGTCTGTCAATTTTTCGTGCTCCCCATTTATGTCATAGCGTAAATACCACCCCATCTCCTACATCAGCTGGCGCCAGATGTCAATTTTTACTCGTGGATATACGTAGCAAAGGAACGAATTATATGGAGGTTCCATATGCAAATTCGGCCTCATGAGTCTGGGGAGAGTATGCTTCTTAAAAGATTTGGTCCATCAATCAAAACTTAAACTACTCATTTTAGGGGTGGGTGGGTGGGGGTAGGAATCAAATGTCAAGTTCATTTCGCAACCCGAGTACAATAAGTATATTCTAATCATATTCTGGACATTGTATCCGAAAGTTCACAATAATCTCGCCAATTATTTTCGCTCACCTCTCAACAACAGGAAAAGGACGTTAGTACAGTGGCCGTGGGAATTGGCAATAACGTGCAAAAGGAAACCCTGAGGCAGATTGCAGGTGGAGGCTCAGTGGTTGAGGTGGACGACTTCGACAAACTTAAAGGAACGATCAAAGAAATCAAATCAAAAGCTTGTTCAGGTGAGGTGACATAGAGAAAAGAAAACGATTACTCTCAGTTAGACATCAATTGTTTGAGATTAGAAACGTTTTTAGTTGAGTATCGAAAGTGCATGGGGTTTTGCTTTACTTCGCTCCTTGATTGGTCCAAAAAAAACTCGCGCCACCATCTCAACCAATCAGATGCAAACCTAACATCAACCCCAACTCGATCACTCGCTTTTAACCGCACCTCAAGCAGGTTGCCTGCTAGTAACCTTTGTCTTAATTGGTTAGTTACGATAACTATAGTTTTGGGTTTTAGACGCTCAATTGAAAGCTGCTCTGTGGCCTGTTTGCTGCACAAGTAACAATAAGAAGTAACATGTGAATTTCTCGTGAGATATAAGCATTGACCCCGGCTTTATATAACAGAGCGAGAGGAAAAAGAACGGGGAGTATGTATTGAGTAATAATGAGAAACTAACTTGAAAATTGTTTTTTCTCTTTCCAGAATGAAAACCCTGCTTGAGATTCACCAAGTGGAGTTAGTCTCCAAATAGGGTTCACCATTATGGGGTGCTTTCAACCAGCAGAATCTCTTAACAGATTGTATTTGCAAACTGTTACTAGTAACAATAAATATATGAAAAAAGCAATGCCCCTGAATTCATTAGCGTTTGTTATAGATCTACAATAAAAATAAAGAAAGGACCAAGATCTCCCAGTTGAGAAATGGCAAAATAAATAAATAAATAAATAAATGAAAAACTGCACATAGTAGAATGCTAACGTCCGCTTAGTCCGCTTCAGGTCTTCTTTTTTGGCATTGTCTCTGTCTTTGTCTCTGCGTTTGTCACCGTCACTTCATGGTAACTGTCACTGCCATTGTCTCTGTTTCTTCAAGGTTCAAGGTGAACCGTCTGCCGGGCATTCAATGAGCCAGCTTGGCTCGTCAGTCAGTTCGTCAATCAGTAGGCCAGACAGGCTTGTCGGCCAGCCAGTCAGTCGACCAGCCAGGCTTGTCAGTTTGTCAATCAGTCGACCAGCCAGGCTTGTCAGCTAGTCAATCAGTCACTCAACCAGTCGGTAAACTAGCCAGCTAGTCGGAAAACCAGTCCGTAAGTCGGCCAGTTATCCTGTCAGTTAGATATACGGTCGCTAGTCAGTTGGTTCAACTGCCTGCCAGCCAACCAGGTAGCCTGTCCGTTGTCTCGTTAAACGATCGATTAACCCTCGCCAGTGCAGTTGATCAAAAAATATTGTTCGGGTGAATTCAGTTTACCTTGAAAAGGTTGTTTTTTCGATTGAGTATGCTTACTTTTATCGAGAATTATATTCTGCTAACTCTTTGTTATGCGAATGAATAAAATTAACTTTTGAGATGATTACTTTCTTTGAACAATTAATGCTATCCTCTTACTTTTTTTACATGATACTTAATAAGCATCCTAGAGAAGAGTGAATTCGTTTTGCTTTTAAAAAGTTGTTTGTTCGATTGAGTATCCTTACTCTCATCGAGAATTCTATCAACAATTTTGGTAACTCTTCGATATGAGAATGAAAAAAATTTTTGAAATGATTAATTTCTTTTAACAATTAATACTACCCTTCTACTTTTCATGTGGATTTTTTGCAACAAATCAGGTGGTGAGTGTGTTCATACTTTACAAAATCGTTAATTAGAAAGTGGCTTCGATTTGTTCGAACTTCAGGAAATGGTTTGTCGCACAAAACATGAGCTAATTCAGTTCTCTTCGCACAACATCTCGAGGTAAACTTAATGCTCGGGTTATGATGAACATTGTTTGCGATACAATAGTTTTTTCTTAATGCTAGAAACTGAAGAATCAATCTCTAAAATTGATAGTCAGCCCATTTTGCAAGAAGCGTCCAAGCTGTGATCGTGTATTGGTACGGGCCCTGGCAATTTGAGCTCGCAAGCACGCTGCCAAGCACAAGGTTAGCGTAAATAATTTTTGCTCACAGTTTTCGAATTGAAGAGTACGTTTTGAAATTCACGAGTCCGTTTCTGAAACCTTCCTAGATATTTTCTGTTGAAGTCATTGAGTTACAGTCTCGGAATTTCATTAGTGATTATGAACGATAAATTAGATGTTTCTAAACTGCAGATCAGTAGACCTCTAACTTATCCTCTCTAAGATATGTCTGTGAGTCAACCAAACGAATCCACTGCAGGCAAAACGCTATGAATTCGCAAGTCCGGACGCCCTGATCACCCCGAAATTGTGTTCATCATTTATTTAAAAAATTAAATATAAGTGGACATAAAAATTCATCCACAGGACTAAATTTATGCACAAAATCTGACATATTATTTGACATAATTACGTAGCATCACGCATCCAACTGTACAAACATCAATCACAAGTACATAACCAATAAAAAATAAAAACACTCGCGGGTAATTAACGCGTACACGAAATAAACAAAAAAACAATATGACATTAAGTTTCACAATCACAATGCATCACAGACGATGATGTTACTTTACGTTCGTGTTCCTCACTCCAGCGTCATGTACGATAAAACGGAATTAGAGGCCGCCATTTCCAGCTTGTTTTTGTTTTCTGGGAGCCTCTGGATGATCTGTTACTAGCATATCGCGGTACCCAAAACGTTGGAGCTTTCAATTTATGGTTCAATTATTAACACTCGGGGTAGGTGACTGCTCGTTGCTCCTTATGACTCTACATACCCTTGCGCGGTATGTGTCGCCACAGTTAAAGTTGGTCGTCGTCAAGGATAATTTAAATGTATTTTTCTTGCAAAGTAATCTTTATACCCGAAAACCTTACCCTAAGCAACTTTCAAACCGTGTTAAGGTCTTTTTAGCTAAATATTTTATTTCATTATTATTCTTCGGCAAAAAATAAAGGGTTCCGCAGGTTTCGGAGGTTCCACGGTCTTCTGGTCCGTAGTTTTGCAACACCCCCATAAATTCGTATCGGCACTATCATTAAAGCATATTTCGGGACGTTTTGTGAACGCATTATCAGTTTACAATTCGAGAACCATTTCTGTAACTTGCTTAGATATTTTCTTTTGAATTTATTGAGTCAAACCCTCGGAATTTAAAGAAAAGCACATTTTAAATTTCCCCATACTATTTTAGGAAAATATACTTAATTTACGGTTGATTCTCGATAAATTGGCCTGGCAAAACTTGTTGATTATTTGATTATTTTTTTGCCCCACAAGCCCGGCTTATGACTCTGGAGGCACTGAACCTGATATATTTGATACACAGGGCACCCTTCATGGGTCGTAAAATTGCTTTTACGACCGTCTATTGCACTCGGTTTACACGTGAAGACAATGGCGTAAAAATTCCTATCATAGCTGTATTTAGAAGCATCGACATGTAGGTAATATGCTTCTGCTCCATTTAATTGTAATGTGTTTCTTTAATTTATAGTTAAAATATATCCATGCCTTTAATTTCCTCCCAGACCTGCCTGCAAATAATTATATTTATTGTTTTAATTTAAGTGTGAGAAGATAAAACATGTTACAGGGTTCCTTTTACGGATTGAATTCAGGTGAGCAGGTGTCAGCTAGTTAATGTCATTTGCTTGTTGCCCTGATTTTTCTTTTACAAAGCCTCTTTTATATCTCTGTGTATGCTATCTAATATTTAAAATCTCAGTGAATACAAATGCCATATTTTAGTAGTAGATTTTTTCATTTCATCTTTAAGTTTTTGGCATTTACTTTTTTAAAATTCATAAATGGCATTGCTTTTTCATCCTTGTTAAGAGTTATTACGCATTTCTGAATCATGTAGTCAACTTAATTTCAGGAGTTTGATTTAATTATATTGTATTAATTGATTTAATTATACTGTATTCATTAACCTGTACTTAAGCTTTCAAATGTAAAAAACTATGTGATGAACATCTGATCTTATGAACACTTACAAGATCTTACAATGGAAAAACCTGTTGGTGGTAGCTTACAAATTTTCAAAGCTACCAGAAATAAGCTGTTTGCAGGTAATGAAGAGCGAATCGACAATCATACCTTAATGCTCGATATGCTTCACTCATACATATCAGGACTTGATTCTTCACAGATTTCAGCTGGTAAAAGATGGATACTAAAAATAGATGACCATAAGAAAAAAAGTACGTATCGTCAAAAAAAAAAAAAAACACTGACGTGGTGGAGTGATTAATTTGTGTTATTTAGAATGATAGAAGCAAGAAAAACACTTTGACGTTTTTCCTAATCACCTGCGAGTTAATTAGATTTTGGATTCTACATTCAAACTGGGTGAGATGAAATTTATTCATAACATGCTTCATTATGGTTGTCTGCATGGAAACTTAATTGTTATTATAGCTTCAGAGATGATTTCGTCGCCGTCGCAGTTAACGTTTATAAAGAATTTTCATGTAAATTAGAATGTTTCAAGAACTTTCTTCATTTTTCTTCAATACCATTTACTATTTCTGGAGCACAGTTAAGAAAGCAGATAATTAAAATCTGATCTTATGACACACTTGCAATGGAAAAACCTGTTGCTGGTAGCTTACAGAAATTTTCAAATCTGCCAGAAATAAGCTGTTTACAAGTAATGAAGAGCAAATTGACAATCAAACCTTAATGCTTGACATACTTCAATCATACATGTCAGGACTTCTGAATTTCAGCTGATAAAAGATGGATATTAAAAATAGATGACCATAAGAAAAAGTACATAGAATGATAGAAGCAGGGAAAACACATTGACGTTTTTCCTAATCACCTGCTAGTTAATAAGATTTTGGATTCTACAGTCAAACTGGGTGAGATTAAATTTATTCATAACATGCTTCATTATGGTTTGTTTCCATGGAAAGGTAATTGTTATTATAGCTTCACAGATGATTTCGTCGCCGCCGCAATTAACGTTCTTGGTGAATTTTCATGCAAATTAGAATGTTTCAAGAACTTTCTTCCATTCTCTTCAATACCATTTACCTTTTCTTGAGCACAATTAAAGGAAGCAGATTATTAAAAAAAATTATAACTTTTGATTCAGATAATTATTGGAATATATGAGTAGCATTTGATGTTTCCACATGCAACAGGATGGTCCAGCTGAAGATAGGCTTAAAAAGGAATGAACTTGACTGTAACATAACATGCTTCATCATGGTTGTTTACATGAAAGTTAATTGCTAGTATGGCTTCACAGATGATTTGGTCGCCGCCGCAATTAACGTTTAAAACGAATTTTCATGTAAATTAGAATGCTTCAAGAACTTTCCCCCTTTTTCTTCAATACCATTAATTACTTCTGGAGCACAATTCAAGGAAGCAGCTTATTCAAAAAAATGATAACTTTTGATTCAGAAAATTATTGGAATATATGAGTAGCATTTGATGTTTCCACGTGTAACAGGATGGTCCAGCTGAAGATAGGCTTAAAAAGGAGTGAACTTGATTGTAACAATTAGGAGACCAATTTGGAAACTAGAACACTTGGTAAATGCACCTCGGCTTGTAATTCTGATGATAACAGTTTGCTGATGTAATTGAAATGTTAGTCCCCACGCAAGAATATACCTTGAGCAAAGTTCTGAAGTCATGGCAGGCTTGAACTACAGTTTTACAGGAAATATTCAATCTTTCAACATTAAAACTGGGATTATGACTACTTCGAATGACTTTACTACGTGCCTTACAGTACAGGCAGGTGTTGCAATTATAAACCGACTAAATGCTTCAAAGCAAGAAAATACAAAGAGCATAGTATCAATTTACAAGTCTTAAACATCGTGTTAAAACAGCATGATACAATGACTACTTTTGAAGGTGATTATCCTTGACATCCTTCATACCATAATATTGCAAATAGGTGGCTTCTCTCCAGTTATTTTTCAAATTTCACGAGAGATAAACACTTCTCCATATAGCGTTCCGAGTTTATTAAATGAACACCCTTTTGTTCGCTGTTCAACTTACCGCGGTGAGATTTCTTAGAGAATCACCGAACCGATACGCACCCCAACCGCGAGTTTCTCGAGTTCGAGAGGATTGTCGTCATAATGGGCCCTCATATCAGACTGAAACAAAAGGAGCACATAACCCAAAAAAAAAGTCACAATATATATGCCAATTTTTCAGGGGTAACTCATTTGTATTGTCATTTTCTTGAAAGGTGAGTCTCATGCTCTTTCAATAGTAGTCTTGTCCTACTAATTCTTAAATATCTACTTTGCTTATTTTTTTATGTCAATTAGGCAATTCTTCAGTTAGATTACACAAAGTCAGTTATTCCGTTCAATTTCTGTTATTTTCAGTCTGAGCATAATAATCTTATTTAAAAGGTGGATGTATTTCATTCTGGTGGCGGTAGCTATTTAAAGAAATTGAACGCACATAGCTGTAAAATTTGAGAGTTTAACAGCTCTCTCCTTCGGAGGGGTATTGTGGCCAAATTTAAATCCGCTAACTTCCAAAAACTAATGTAAATTGTTCGTTTAGAAGCGATTTCAAATTTTTGGTTTGGGGTGCAAGTCGTTCATTGTACAACGGAATTCGTCTGCCACTTCTTCGTTGGCTGTTATCCACATATCTCTTTCATGGCGCCACGACGTCATCATTGGAAACAAGTCTTTAAACTACATCTGGGGTTTGTCGAAGAAAGATACTTTATGATAGAGTTTTCGTTTATTATTTACACAAACACCTCTATTACATTTCCCGTTACTGATCAAATACTGATCCAACCCAATAAACAATTGCCAGTATACATTAGTATATCGTTGTGACCAACAAATGAGTACTGCTAAGAAATGTCCTTGATCCCTGCTTTCAATTTAAAGGTAAGACATCTAAATCCAACGTGTAGTCTGCTTTAGGATGGAACTTAGGTTGTCCAACGTTGATGTTACAATGACAAGATAGTTATAAAAACAGCTGTTAGATTGTTGTTTGATGTTATGCGCTCAACCATGCAGCAAGAATTAAATTGCTGCAAAGTTGCAAGGGTAATCTCATGTCTGATCTCATTTACCATGACTAGTCTTATTCACAGAAAACTACCTACAATGAGTTTTGTTTATAAGGGCATAAATATTGATCTTGAGACTGATTGTAATTCAAAAATAAGAATAAAAACATGTTCCATATTCTCATTTACACAGAGGTCTAAGGCAATGAACTGAAATGAAGCGTGCTTGTAAGAAGCTTTTGCGTTGCTATGTTAGCCTAACGTCAAAATAATTTTGATCAAACTTTGCTTCAAAATGATCGACCGCCTAATTTTTTTAACAAAAAAGTATGGTAGCATCGATCCATCAAATAACTGGAGATAAAGGATAATGGAACCATTCAGAAACAACTTAAAAGCTGCATCCTGAAAATACAATTACACCCTTAGGGTATATATTTTAATTGCTGTATGATTAACGACCCGAAAAGAGTAAAAATTCGTGGGAAAATTACCGAGCCACGCATGTGAGAAGCACTTCAGCTGCAGAGTAATAAACCTTTTAAAGCGTTCCCATCAGTTTCGCGACACATCAGAACCCACGGCAAAAAGAAACTGATGATAAAAATACGTAGTCATTACAAAATGCAAAGAAAGGGAACACGCTACTTGACTTCAGGATTTCACCTCGTGGGTGTGACATCATCTCAACGATATAAATGAATGTTCGATAATAAGCATGTCACTCGTTGCATCCATTATAACAACCTTCAAAATATTTGAGGGGCTCCGACCGTTGTGGAAAATTTTAGAAATATGCCTTTCTGGTCATCAGCGGTCGCACGAAAGACTAATGTGTCAAAAACGTGTGTGCTAAACTCGTTGCTTCTTAAGTATTCATTAAATACTGTTATCCTATAATAAATCAGTACAATTACGATAGAATAAGTTTAAACTCGCGATTAGTATTTCCACAAACCGCTCTCGCATCTATCGCTTAGGATTTAAATTAGTAGAATCAAAATTAGAGAAGTTCTGAGGGAGTTCTGAAAGTTATTGCTCAATGTGGGTGTCATTTACATTTGTAACTTTGCTCATCATGCATGGAATGTAATTATAACTTAAGCATGGCTCGCACATGTCACACTTAAAATTGATGTTCACTGTCATTGTTTTTCAGAAATTGACCAGTTTTTGATAATGGAAACTTTGTGGGTTTGTCTCATCTTGACTTTGGCCCTATCTTCAGGTGGAGAGCATTTTTATGCATTAATTTCTTCCTAAGCCCTGATCGCCAAAAACATTCTTTTATCATCTCATCATTTTATTATCAAAGTAACCTCGCCAACTCGAACTCCCAATGGAAAGGAAAATGGTTGGAGTTAGCGGGGGTGTGAGTTATTACGAGAGTAGAGTGATAACTTTCGTTAAGGCGGTTAAAGCGTTAGTTATTGCAACTGAAAGCAGTCCTTGTAAGGACTACCCTCATCAGGGAGAAACAACTCGATCAAACGTTAATGACTGTCATAGACACAGGGTCATTATCAATTTCATTATTATTTATAGGTACACAGGTTTTAAGATCGTCAGGCTGGTTTGTAACTCTTGGTATCACGTCGCCGTGATTTGCCCACCGGTCAAACTAACCTTTAACACTTTGTCTGCTTTCTAACATCTTTGTTAAGATTCCAGTTGTTCTAAAAAGTAGCATTTGTTTTAAGTGATACTGAAATGTGCACATCAATACTTGTAAGATTGTTTTCCTGTCTCTTTTGGACTTTCTTTTGCCCCCGAGACTCTTAGTACCACCTTTTTCAGGACTCTACACATTTTCTTTTTATAATTAGTGTTATAATCGGTATCAGCATCATTATTTCACATCATGTTTTTTTGCGAGAGTTATGATTAATATTAATAGTTTCTTTTTTTTTCATTCTCAGATCTATCTCAGGCAGAAGGTTTGTTATTTGGCTCTTTTCTCATTAATATTGAACGCAACATAAAACCAACGAGTGTATCAATTGTGTCATGCAGTTTGTTTAAGGCCAATCTGTGCTGCCACCATGCACAGCATACAAGACGCGAAATTTTTCCTGACACTGAGTAACTTCGTGTGCATGTCGACTTAAAAAAAAGGATAATTATTAATAATAATGTTACTACCGGTAGGTGACTGTCATGATCAAATTCTGGATATCGCTATTTTGGCTGACGTATCAAGGAGTATGAACTTCAGGCAGCGGAGAGCTAAGATAAAACTCATCGATGACCTGGTAGAAAAGAAAGGCGTTTCTCCTTCAGGAAATCATTTCGCTCTAATCACCTTTGCAAAGGACGTCGTTATCGAAAGCGACTTCAACAATAAATCAAACTACGAAGAGGACAAATTAAAACACTTTGTTCAGAAGACAGTATACGTGAAACCCAAGGCCTGGGGAACACGAACAGATCTCGCCATGGATCTGGCCGCCAAAGAGTTGTTTACTGAACAAAGAGGAGACAGGCCCGGTGCTAAGAACATCATAATTTTGTTTACGGATGGCAAACCTTTTAAGTCGAGGAGAGATAAACGACGTGTGATTCCGTTTAAGGATTCCATTAAAGTATTGGAGGTAGACAAAATAGATTTCAGTTTAACTGACAGGTGTTCGCTCTTTTTTTTTTTTTAGCAAGTTTTGTTTATTTTTTTTTTAACTTTTGAACACATTCGTGGAGGTAACATCACAATATTGTGGAAAATTAATATAGACCAACTTGATGATATTTCGTCTATTGTTCCACGGAAATTTACAGCGAAACTTTGAATTCTCTCTTTCGAATTTGATTTTCAGAGATATCGCGAAAATGTGCCAAAATCAAGACTGATTCATGCAGTTCATGACCTTGTTAAAAATTGACTCCTTGCCTTTCAACAGAGTAAAGGTGTGAGCATAATTGTTGTCGGAGTCGGTAGAAACGTGTTCAGAGCAAAAAGAAATATGTACGAGATGGCTGGCGAGAGGGGAAAGGTCCTTCTGTATCCCAGTTTTGATGACCTTCCCGGACACTTGGACGATATCGTGAAAGCTACTTGTGGTAAGCTGTCCTTGTTAAATTGCTTTATCTTTCGATGTGTTTAGAATAACCATTTTATCAATTAAATCATTCAAAAATTATTTTATTAATTATTGAATGGTAAACAAATTTCCTTTAAAAGGGCAAATAGCGTAAAGAATTTGTAAGCTAGAGCCGCGTAATGTTTAGCCATCCTTTCAATAGCGAAGCCGTTAATGATTTGTCGAAAAATTTATAAAAGGGCTGGCCAAGCCTTAAATTTAAATCTGTCTCAAAACTGTGACAGCTCTTTTCTTTTGGAGAAAAACAGTCGCACCTCGTACTTTAAGTGTGACGCGTTCGACTGAGAACAATCAGTAAATCGTACCGAACAAAAAATACAAATTTTCAAAAACTTGTATTAAGCAATATTCGTCTTTCAACGATTGTTAATATTCCGTTTAAAACAGACGGATTTTTTAGGAGATTTATAAACAAGATCTGTTTTTCGTTCAAGAAAAGAAATGTATCACAACTTCTTCGTCTTTCTGTGCGTTAGATTGAAACAAGCGAAAGTCTTGTTAAATTGAAGAATTAAAGTTAAGTTAAAGTCTTGTTGAAGAAAAATTGCTTTGATTAGCATATCCTTTTTGATAAATGAGAAAGACAAAAACTTCATCGCGAGACATGTTGATTCATAAAGATTACTTCCTTGTTCGAAAAGAGCAGCTGGCACCGGCTAAGAGGTCTTCAATCGCTGTGCTCCTAAAAAAATGAGTTAAAAATGTAAAATATGGGGAAAACCGAATTAATCAGCAATGACACAGACAAAAATGGTGTCCAAGATGGTGTTTAATAGTTAAGTTGGTGTAACCCACCTCCAAATGTAGAATCTAGTCAACTACTCTACTCCAGCTGGGCGGCGTTATGTGGAAGCCTAAACGGTTGGCGCACTGCGGAGATCTGAGTTAAGTTGGGCCTGGTTTCTATATAGCTTTTTAGCTGGTCACATTCGTTTCATTTCTGAATATACCATTAATAAAGGAACATTCTTTGTCGTCTCGTTATTATCAGTATCGTTTATTGTTATCAGTATAGTTTATTATTATCAGTATAATTGTAATCTTTTTACTGGGTACTGTAAGGTGATTTTGATTTGCACTAATTGATCTCTTTTTTTCTTTGCAGAGGAAATGCCTGTACCCCACCCGGAAGGTTCGTAATTTTGATCAGTTTTTTAATGCAATTAACCAGTTATTTTCTGACATGGCAGACACCACTTTTGTGCAAAACAGGGGTTGTTCTGGTGATCGAATACAATGCACGATGCAGTAAATCAAAGGATTTTATTGGCTGGTTATAAACCGCCACAATGGTGTCTTTGAAGCGAGAACACTTGGGTTTGTTTATCTCAAATTCTTAGAGACAATTCGCTTCTCGAATTAATCAAGTAAAATAATACAAAGTCAATCTATTGAACCCTTCATGAAAGTCTTAGATCGGTAGAAGTGAAAGTGCCATAGAGCTGTGCGCGATGCAGTCGCTGAGAACAGACTACAGGAGGCCTGCACTTTTCTCCTTAGTGACTATAATACTCTTATTTCGAAGGCAAGTAACATCTGTAGAAGACTCGCTGTGGTGGTAGCACAGCGTTGTTACGAGATATCGCTATACTTAGTATGCTGAGACATGGATAGGCGAACATCTTCATGCGCACAGCTCTGCTCTCTTTTGCTCCCCGCGCATGTAGAACATTCAAGGGATAAATCATTGATAAAGATTATATTATCTATTGGTAGGTAGCTGTCTTGATAAAAAATTGGATATCGCGATACTGCAAGACATAACAAGAGGTGTAGGCAAGCAAGAGCGAAGGAAAAATATAAAAATCATTGATGAGCTGGTAGAAAAGAAGGGTGTTTCCCCATCAGGAAACCATTTTGCTATTATCACCTTTGCAATGGAAGTAGTTATTCAAAGCAAATTCAACGATGAGTCATACTACGAGGAAGACAAATTAAAAGACTTGGTTCAGAAGAAATTAAGAGAGGGACCCAAGGCCTGGGGAAGACGCACAGATCTCGCCATGGATCTTGCCGCCAAAGAGTTGTTTACTGAACAAGGAGGAAACAGGCCTGACGCTAAGAACTTCATAATCATGTTTACAGATGGGAAACCTTATAAGTCGAGGAGAGATAAACGACGTGTGATTCCGTTTAAGGATTCCATTAAAGTATTGGAGGTAGACAAAATAGATTTCAGTTTAACTGACAGGTGTTCGCTCTTTTAAGATTCCGTTTGAGCACTTCCATAGATGTATTGGAGGTAAAAAAATTAGACTTCTTCTTTATCAACCGCCCATTCAGATAAGGATAGAAAGTACTTGGATCCTATAATCTACCCTCCTCAAGGATGTGCTCACTAATAGCAAATCTGAGTCCGTAAAGATTAAATTCCTTTCCGTTTCAGTAGATTATTTCGGGTATGTTTGGTGTTTTCTTTCTGTAAACACCAGGAGTAAATCTTGAGGATGCAAAGACCAATATAATACTTTATTCGAGCACCACGGCTATTTAAACGAGGTCTTTTACGAGTGGCGAAACAAATTTACTGCGGTCATGAAATATTTACATTTCAGAGGTATATGTAAACGAACGAATCTTGCGAATATTCTCTTAAAGTCCGCACGATATTTTTTTTGAACGAAACTTTGTAAACTTTGTTTTGGATTTGTGAGGAAGTATCCTGAAGATTTGTGAAGATTGTAACTTAAGCGAATCATACATAAGGGCCTTGTAGTTTGTGACCTGGATAAGGTTTCATTCTCTTGTTTTTACACAGAGCAAAGGTGTAAGCATAGTTGTCGTTGGAGTCGGTAATAGAGTTTTCAAAGAAAAGGAGACAATGTCAGTGATTGCAGGAAAGAATGGAAAAGTGCTTCTGTACCCTAACTTTCACGACCTATCTGAACATTTGGACGATATTCTAGAAGCAACGTGTGGTAAGCTCAAAAATAACTAATCAATCTGTATTGGAAATAAAAAGTAATTGAATCATCAATGGGCCTTAATACATAGACTGGTGCCTCTGTATTTAATTGGGAGATGAGTGAAAAAAAATTGAATATAAGAAAGCTCCATCGTTCACTCAAAATACATATATAAAGTTAGAACGGTTAGAACTTTAAAGACTAACAAAATTGACCTTTCGGGCCTTTTAACCTTACTTTTTACATATTGCTCTACTATTCTTAGTACATTTGATTATCCTTTTTTACTTCTTAGCTTAGCGTGGGATTATTTAAGATTATGTTTCATGTCCCTAACTTAAATTTTTTTAAATTTTAAAATTATATTTATATGTAACAGTATTTACTTTTAAAGTTGATTTCAATTTATGTGGAATATCTGTAAATTAGCTGGTTTTATTTATATAATGTCACAAGTGAAAAGCTAAGCGTATGACATGTGCTAGGGTAATCTGGAAAGTACCATCACACCACACCACTGTTACCTACAAGCTGTATACATTTATGAAAAACAGAAAACTAATAGGCCAGAGGTGTGGCAAACAGAATCCGTGGTAAAGAGCGCAGCAAATGGTGTCGGTGTTATTGTTCAGTCTCCAAGTACGTCTGTCATTTGACATCAAATATGAATAATTTGAACGGACCAGCCAAGCAAGTGAAAATAAGGGGCGGTTTTGGTGTCTAATAGGTAACGGTGAATGAGTGATTGCAAATCGTAAAATGGCGTCGAGCTAAAACTTTAAGGCATTATTGACCATAAAAAAGTTAAACTTAAAAAAATACGGTATCTTATATGACCTTGCAGCTTTCTAATAATATGAAAGTCATGCATTTCATTTTTCTCTACTGAAAGCAATTGACGGTGGATACAGCGAGTTTTCTGAGTCTGAGTGCAGTGTGACATGTGGAGGTGGGACAAAAAATCTGACAAGAACTTGTACCAATCCGCCGCCATCTGACGGTGGCAAGGACTGCAGTGAACTGGGACCAGCTGAAAAGACAGTTTCATGCAACAAAGCAGAATGTCGTAAGTATCATTAGTGTCACTTTGAGTCATCTATGGTTAGAGCGGTCTAATTAGATCCAAAACATTTTGTTTACCTGTTCTATATGCTATAGCTGAAGTAAATAAGCATAACTGAAGTTGCTGCTTCCGGTTGTTTGTATAGCAATTGATGGTGGTTACACTGAGTTTTCTGAGTCTGAGTGCAGTGTGACATGTGGAGGAGGGACAAAAAATCTGACAAGAACTTGTACCAATCCGCCGCCATCTAACGGTGGGAAGAACTGCAGTGAACTAGGACCAGCTGAAAAGACAGTTTCATGCAACGAAGCGGAATGTCGTAAGTATCTTTAGTGTCACTTTGAGTCATCTATGGTTAGAACGGTCTGATTAGATCCAAAACATTTTGTTTACCTGTTCTATATGCTATAGCTGAAGTAAATAAGCATAACTGAAGTTGCTGCTTGTGGTTGTTTGTATAGCAATTGATGGTGGTTACACTGAGTTTTCTGAGTCTGAGTGCAGTGTGACATGTGGAGGAGGGACAAAAAATCTGACAAGAACTTGTACCAATCCTCCGCCATCTAACGGTGGGAAGGACTGCAGTGAACTGGGACCAGCTGAAAAGACAGTTTCATGCAACGAAGCAGAATGCCGTAAGTATCTTTAGTGTCACTTTGAGTCACCTTTGGTTAGAGCGGTCTAATTAGATCGAAAGCATTTTGTTTACCTGTTCTATATGCTATAACTGAGGTAAATAAGCATAACTAAAGTTGCAGAATTTGGTTGTTTGTGTAGCAATTGATGGTGGTTACACTGAGTTTTCTGAGTCTGAGTGCAGTGTGACATGTGGAGGAGGGACAAAAAATCTGACAAGAACTTGTACCAATCCGCCGCCATCTAACGGTGGGAAGAACTGCAGTGAACTAGGACCAGCTGAAAAGACAGTTTCATGCAACGAAGCAGAATGCCGTAAGTATCTTTAGTGTCACTTTGAGTCACCTATGGTTA